GGTAAGATGTCGCAACAAAGAAGTTATATGGAGAATCATGGGCCATGAAGAATGGCAAAAAACAATAATACATAAGTTTTACCTTGTGACGCATTACCAACAACAATAATAACAACTGTTGGGCAAAATGTGAGAACGGGATAGTAAGCTTCAAAGGAACAGATGCGCAAACGAGATGCGGAACTGAATAAAGCAACGGAAGATAACAAGTGACTTTTACATCCTTTTTGTACTTAACTATCCACTTGCAGTCAGCTGCTCGCCTTCATTATTTTGGTATTAAAATAAGGTCACTATTCATTACTTTACCTTGTGTAATCAGACTTAGGTATGGCTAAAACTTGTTAATAATCTCTTTAGCCAATCGAAAAGTCAACATCGTAATAGCGCATGCATGCAATACGCGCTAATACTTCGCATATTCTTACCGTAGTCTTGGCAGACCGTCAGATGTGGCTTATTCGGTTCTCCACCCGCGTTTCAGTTCAGTAAAACCACCAGAGACATGTAAAATAGATCAGCATTTTTTTGACAGAAGTCCTGATCGCGGCTGATCTCGGTACCTCATTCGTGATATGAAAACCGGAAAAACCAAAGCAGCATCTGAAAAGATCCGTGCGCTAACTACACTTAATTTGGAGCTCGCTGATATACTTGGTTTGACATTCCTGTGCTGCTGAAATAATCATGAAATAGAACTTGGTCACTAAGGATGGCATTGTTAAGTTAGCTTAATCTTACCAATATATGCCTACTGGTCACCTCCAAATATATTATTTTGTATTTACATACCTCTTTAAAACAGAAAATGGGCCTGTATTTTTATGCAGATTATCCTCAATTGTCGGAATAAGCTGCCGAAAAGTGTACTTCTGATGTATTATTTTGGCCCCTTTATCCCACAAGAATTCGTAAGAAACTACGTTAAACTCAGCTTTCTTTATATATACTTTTTCTATCGACGAATATGATGGTCCACTATCAAACAGAAATATGTCCCAACGCACAGAAAGCAAACAACGTCCCACGTCATCCCGAAAAACCAAAGTGCAATCAATTCCAACAAATACTGCGTTGCCGAAGGAGATATCCCATGACCAAGAAACCTTTGTAAACGAGGAACTATGTTGTACCTCTGCAACTGCAGTTGTCTTTGAATCAAAAGATGATGACAATATAAATTTGAACAAATTTATCACAGCGTGTGCATCACTATAAATACATGCCTGAATCGGCTTCAGATATCACTTTATTTACACGAACGCAGAGAGTTTGTTTTAGAAGATAGAGGAGCTTAAAACGTGGATATCAGGTATAAAGCTGGCTGTCATCTGCATTACGGGGACCTGGTTACAAGCCGACGTAATGGAAAACGAAATTGTACTTGGTGAGTACCTTATTCTTCACCCGCTCGGCTACACAAAAGAAGAGGAGAATGTTAATATCTGATGAGAGAGGAATCATCGCACCAGAACGTAAAATCAGTCGTTCCCAAGAATATGAATCATAGTGTCTAAAACT